AACACACACACACACAGACACACACAAACTCAATACGAGCTAAAATTATAATAAAAATATTTTCCCTAGACAAATTATTCACAAAGAGGTGCTTAAATAGCTTTTATAGTATAACACTTTCTTTTAAAAGAAAAAAAATAAATTATTATCTTTACCTGTTTTTTACACTATGGTAACTAATTCTAAAAATGGTAGACATTATAAGAAATTTATGTTGTTTATATTAGTTAAGTATATGCAAATATTGTATGGCATATGAACTTCGGTTAAACAAGATTGAACAAAAAGTAAATGTAATTAATGTAATTGATGCCTATAGATATTTGACCATACAGTAATGACATTGTATAGCAGATACCTTTCTCATTTAAGATATTTTCAGAGGCTTTTGGAACCTAACCCTCAGTTAATATGATAAACATTTCACTTTACTCTCTTTCCAAACATAATAATATTCCAGATTTATTCTGAATCACATTCATTATTCAAAATCCTGAAGAGAAAATTGGCCTGGTGCAGTGGTCTCAAGCCTGTAACCCTCACACTTTGGGAGGCCAAGGCGGGTGGATCATTTGAGCCCAGGAGTTAGAGACTAGCCTAGGTAAGATGATGAAACAACCTCTCTAGAAACGGGCATGGTGGCACACACTTATAGTCCCAGCTACTCAGGAGGCTGAGGTGGGAGTATCACTTGAATCCCAGAGGTGGAGGTTGTAGTGAGCCCATATCATACCACTGCACTCCAGCCTGGGCGACTGTCTCAAAAAAAAGAAAGACAAATAAAAGAGTTAAGAAATACCAGTAAGTGTATATCTATGGACTTTCAATATGATTAGTACCTTTTGGCGACACATGTCTGAGCAAGTGGTTTTTCTTTTAGAGTTAAAAAAAGACCTTACAAAAGAAGATTAATGAGTTTATGTGTTTTGGTGCAAAATTAGCTTTTTGGAAGAAAGGGGTTCTTTAAATCTAAAATGTAATAGTATTATAATGTCATTTCCTTAGCATATACGTTTTCTTCTGTCACTGTCCTTATATTGGCCAGTATTATCTGAACACGTCTGCCCCAGTTCCTCTCAGACTTTATCTCCTACTATTTGTTCCCACTCACTGGCATCAATCCCACTGGCCTCTTTGCTGCACTTTACCTTAGAAGCTTTGTGCTAGCCTCCCTCTACCTGTAGTCTTCTTCCGTGTTAAACCTGCAAGGCTGACTTCTTACCTCCTGAAGTATTGACTCATACCTCACTTTTGCAATGCAACTACCTATTTAAAATTACTCTACTTCTTCATCTCCCTGACTACTTTTTATTTCCCCCAAAACACTTGTCACCTTCTAACTTACTCCTTAGCGTCCTCCGAAATACATGATAGGAATTTTTGGCATTTATTCCCTGGTAAGTGAACCACAGGCAGTGTGTACACTATTAGGTTCTAAGGCAGAAATTGACTCCTGTTTGTTGAACAGGAATATCCTCCACCAAAAGTACATTTGCCCCTATAATTATCCAGTTTTCAATTTCTTTGCCACACTTTCCAAAGAAAGCGCATTGACATAGAGGAAAATGTGTATGTTGAGGAAATGATACTACTCTATTTTGGATTTTAAAAGGTTCTTCCTCCCAGAAAGCTAACTTTGCATCAAAGCATATAAACTCATTAATCTTGTCTTTATCTCTGTTTGGTCTGGATAACCCAGTTTATTAAATGGTGAAGACCAGGACAGAAAAGGTGAAATGGCTTACACAGAATCGTACATATCATTGGTAGAGCTGCTAAGAAAAACATCCAGATGTTCTCTTTGTTCAATACATCATTCTATATGCGGCTCTATTGGAGGTTATCTCTCATCAATATAAGTCGTCACATCATCTGAGGTCATATCCAATGGCAAAGGAAATGAAGAAATAAATTTAAAACTTAACCAGGCTTTTTATAACTCTTTTTGCCTTTCAATCTGAAGATGAAAAATATTATTTTTAGAGATGAGAAAGTGAGGCAGTTTCAGGCCTTTATCTGAAACAATATTGTATCTCTCTTGTCTCATCAGTCTTAGAGAATGAGCATATTTTAAAATGACTGTAATTAAATATTGTCACTATGAAAAGAATATTAATTTTACAGCAGGTGAAAATAATGCAATAGTATGTAGCATGAGTGGGGGTAGAGGATACAGCTGTCTAATTTTGGTCTACTGGAACTAGTATAGATTTTCCTTCAAACTGAGCAGAAATGCAGCTCTTAGAGCATAGTAGCAACTTTCCTTTCTGCTTACAGATTTAAAGTTAAAGGCACAAGTTTAACATGCAGTCCATCCTGTGACTAATCCAGCAGGTTGCTCCTTCCGCTCTTGCTAATGCTGCTACCTTGCTTCTAAGTGGACATTAGTACTTGGGGTATTTATTTTTCTGTATGCTTTGAAGTAGTTATGAATCTTCTGAGAACTAAAGAATTGGGATTCTCCAATGGCCTATTCTACACGAGCAGATGAGTGGTATTCTTGTGGGGGTTGAGAAAGCGGCTGTAAACTTCTTTTCGTTAGGTAATTTAGCTTACCTTATTTCTTTTCTTTCCCCTCTTTAGTGGAAATTGTTCAAACTTCAGGAATGATTTAATATCTTCTTTCTGGACCCAATAATGCATCCTATAAGCTACATCAGCATTGTATTTTTTTCCCATGATACAGAAAGAGAATTTAAAAAGAGAAAAAAACAGAAGTATAACAATACCATATTTATTGGAGTTTGAAATGTGGCCACTAATTTTAGTCAATATAATTTCAAATAATTAAAAGCTTTGAAACATATTCATTTAATGAGTTTGTATGCCCGAAAGCTAAAATTGGATGTTTGGAAGAAAGTGAGGAAATTAATTTCAGTTTTTTTCCTTAGCCAGAACATTGCAAATTAAGGAAATGGTTTACTAGATCATTTTATCCCAGCTAATGAAACTTATTTTTCTTCCAGTTTGGTTTCTCTGTCAATTATTCAGAAATTAAAACATACTATATTGTAATATTAAATCTCCAGTATCTTCTAATTTGATATGAGGTTACCTTTATAGGTAATTATTAGAGGAAAGGTGAGATATTTTTTCTACCTTCACCAGCCCCATTCCCTGCCTGCCTTGCCCCTAGCCACGTAGAGTCATCTAACTTAGGTAATTACTCTGTAAAGTCATATTCCTGAAGTCTGGAAGTCTTTCTGTTCAATGTGCTCCAACAAGCTGATTTACTTAAATTCAGTGCTTTGTGCCATTCCCATGAATCTGAGCTAATTATGCTGCCATTTTTCAGAGATGTGCATTAGAAGTCATGTGTGCCTAATTCTGAAAACGGCTTTGTACATTAAGGCTCATTTAACTAGCGATGGTTAGAGAGAAGTTAAGGGACTTAGAGTTACTGGTCTTAATTTTAAAATACAGTAGTAGGATGGAACTCTCTTGTACTGCAAGCATATAAGATGCTATGTTGTCAGCCTCTGAATCTTTAGGAATGTTCCAATTTGGCTTATGTCTTACCAGTCAAGATGTCACAGAGAAGGTATGTTTAGTCATGGAAAAGAAAGTCAGTGTCCAGCATGCAAAGATAGTAAATTTTCATAGGAGGAATTGATTTGTATGCATTACTGGGTCTGTGTAAAATGGTGTCCTTTTGGCACTAGCTGAATATACATTTCAGTAAATGTTTTTGCTTGCTGCAGATTAGTGTAATACAGTGAAATTTTCAGTAACTGAGGGAAGGCAGTGAGTGGTTGGGCGTCTGTTAATAGCCCGAAAGTAACTAATGAGGATGTGCAGTCAGAACGATTGATTGAATAGCTGCAGTCCTGTGTGTTTCTTTCTTGCTTGCTCTCTCTGCAAGCTGTGGAGAGGGAGGGGGAAGAGCAAGACACAGAGAGGGAGCGAGAGAAAAAACGCTCTCTCTTAAGTGGAAGTAGCACAGATCCCAGGGGCCAGGAGGCCAGAAATGGAAGTTTAAACTGCATCTATCTTTTAAAGGGAGAACAGCAGGAATCAAAATGTCAGTCTCCGGAGTTACAATTTACTCCTTATTTTCTAAGATCTGGAAGATAACACAGAATACTTTTTTTAGGATGTGGCTTTTTTTTTCCTTGTCCATGTTGAGATTATCTAATGTTATCTGAGAAGCTGGATTCCTTTATGTCTGTCAGTTGAAGTGGCGATGGGAAGCAGTTGTGATAAAGGTATAATACCTATATATCTATCATCTGTGTGTGCGTGTGTATGTATATATATATACACATGTATATATATATATCACTCTATGAAAAAATCTTAAAAATGTAGCCTTAATACAGTATATAGTAATTAAATGGGAGAAGATCACATTGTCTGCAAAATTCCTCAGCTTGTTAGGTCAGTTTGAACAGATTTAGGATTCCAGAGTAAGATCTTAGTAAGGTCATATTGCCAGAACAAGGAGAAGCTGATCTATTTTTATATCTGCATAGGCATATATGTTATTTTATCTTGGCAGCAGCTTTCAGTCTTCTCATGGCCCTTTTGTTGCAGTCTGGTAAATCATCTCATCTGCACAGAACTAACTTTGACCTTTGTGCAAACACCATCAAATCATATGCAACATTAGACTATATTTTGTTCACAAGAATATTAGAATTTCCATTTTATTCTATTAACTCCTACATTGCTAACACATAGAGAAGTAGATTTATATACTGTGAGATACAACTACTAAGTGAACTTAAAGATATTAAACATAGCTCAAAGGAAATTATTTTTATATGTGCTCAGATGAAAATATAGTCTGTCACACTAAAGCAGATTCTTAACTGTGACCAAGTCTCTCTAGTGTCTTGATAGTTTAAGCACCTCAAAGATAGACAAATTATGTGAGACAGAATGTAATGTACCTTTAAAGCATGCTGGTTTGTTGTGAAAAACCAGTAACTTTACAGTTTAGTGGAATATCCTAAATTTGGGGTTCTTAATGATGTTTCAGCCTTCCTCCTTTCTTCCAGAGGTACCAGCAGAAAGGTCCCCTCGTAGACGCAGTATCTCAGGGACCAGTACATCAGAGAAACCCAACTCCATGGACACTGCAAATACCTCACCCTTCAAAGTACCAGTAAGTGTTTATCTTCTTTATAAGAATATTTTACTTTTCTCCTTTCTTCTTAGAGTTAGAGACAGCTACTAAGGAATCCAAACATTTTTCTCTTCAAGAATTTCTTTATAATTCTGTGATTAAAGGATAGACTCATCAACTTGTATAAATCAACTGTGGTTAATATCAACTACTTTCTTTTTTTCTTTCTTTCTTTTTTTTTTTTTTTTTTTTTTTTTAAAGACAGTTTCACTCTTCGCCCAGGCTAGAGTGAAGTGGCATGATCTCAGCTCACTGCAACCTCCATCCCCTCCCCCGGGTTCAAGCAATTCTCCTGCCTCAGCCTCCTGAGTAGCTGGGATTACAGGCATGTGCCACCACGCCTGGCTAATTTTTGTATTTTGAAAGAAAAAGAAAATAAGAAAGTAGTTGAATATAACCACGTTGATTTATACAACGTTGATGAGTCTATCCTTTAAATACACCAGAAATTATAAAGAAATTCTTGGAAAGGAAAAATGTTTGGATTCCTTAGTAGCTGTCTCTAACTCTAAGAAGAAAGGAAAAAAGTAAATATTCTTATAAAGAAGATAAACACTTACTGGTACTTTGAAGGGAAGGTATTTGCAGTGCCATGGAGTTGGGTTTCTCTGATGTAACTGTCCCTGAGATACTGCGTCTACGAGGGGACCTTTCTGCTGGTACTCCCTGTGAAGGAAAGGGGAGAAGGCTGAAACATCATTAAGAACCCAAATTTAGGATATTCCACTAAACTGTAAAGTTAACTGTTTTTCACAACAAACCAGCAATGCCTGTTAAAGACATTTC